TGATGGCACTTCTTATTTGTGGTGAGTGTGCCATTACTGTAGTCTAAACTGATGGTACTTTTGATGTGGTAAGTGTGACATTGCTGTAGCCTAAACTGATGGTACTTTTGATGTGGTAAGTATGCCATTGCTGTAGCCTAAACTGATGGTACTTTTGATGTGGTAAGTGTGCCATTGCTGTAGCCTAAACTGATGGTACTTTTTATGTGGTAAGTGTGCCATTGCTGTAGCCTAAACTGATGGTACTTTTGATGTGGTAAGTGTGCCATTGCTGTAGCCTAAACTGATAATACAAACTGTGGGGTTATATCTACAAACTGTGGGGTTATGTCTACAAACTGTGGGGTTATATCTACAAACTGTGGGGTTATATCTGCAACTGTGGGGTTATATCTGCAACTGTGGGGTTATATCTACAAACTGTGGGGTTATGTCTACAAACTGTGGGGTTATATCTACAAACTGTGGGTTATATCTGCAAATTTTGGGTTATATCTTCAAACTCTTAGGTTATATCTATAAACTGTGGGGTTATATCTACAAACTGTGGGGTTATATCTACAAACTGTGGGGTTATATCTGCAACTGTGGGGTTATATCTACAAACTGTGGGGTTATATCTGCAAACTGTGGGGTTATATCTACAAACTGTGGGGTTATATCTGCAAACTGTAGGGTTATATCTGCAAATTTTGGGCTATATCTTCAAACTCTTAGGTTATATCTATACACTGTGGGGTTATATCTACAAACTGTGGGGTTATATCTACAAACTGTGGGGTTATATCTGCAACTGTGGGGTTATATCTACAAACTGTGGGGTTATATCTACAAACTGTAGGGTTATATCTGCAAACTGTGGGGTTCTATCCACAAATTGTGGGGTTATATCTACAAACTGTGGGGTTATATCTACAAACTGTGGGGTTATATCTACAAACTGTGGGTTATATCTGCAAATTTTGGGTTATATCTTCAAACTCTTAGGTTATATCTATAAACTGTGGGGTTATATCTACAAACTGTGGGGTTATATCTACAAACTGTGGGGTTATATCTGCAACTGTGGGGTTATATCTACAAACTGTGGGGTTATATCTGCAAACTGTGGGGTTATATCTACAAAGTGTGGGGTTATATCTGCAAACTGTGGGGTTATATCTACAAAGTGTGGGGTTATATCTGCAAACTGTGGGGTTATATCTGCAACTGTGGGGTTATATCTCAAACTGTGGGGTTATATCTACAAACTGTGGGGTTATATCTACAACTGTAGGGTTATATCTACAACTGTGGGGTTATATCTGCAAACTGTGGGGTTATATCTGCAAACTGTGGGGTTATATCTGCAAACTGTAGGGTTATATCTGCAAACTGGGGTTATATCCACAAATTGTGGGGTTATATCTACAAACTGTAAGGTTATATCTACAAACTGTGGGGTTATATCTGCAACTGTAGGGTTATATCCACAAACTGTGGAGTTATATCTACAAACTGTGGGGTTATATCTACAAACTGTAGGGTTATATCTACAAACTCATTTCATAATGTTTAACACATTTACCCTTTGCTATACATCCTTTGTGATCATTCATCAAATGTTTGGTGATTTTTTTTTAAAAACAGTTTATTTGCTATGTACCGTACATACAATGTGTAATAATATATGACCCATGTATTCATTTGCATATCATGGCCTAATATGAATAAATGCTAATTACAAACATGTAATGTCTGTTTTAGAGTTTGTTTTGTAATACTGTGAAGAATATGATTACACTATTACTTTGAACCATTGCAGCATAAAGCTTGAAATTGCAATAGTAACTTTGCTAGGTTGTCCAATATTTTGATCAAATATCTGTATTTTACTGTAATGTTCAGACACCAGCAATGAGAAACCCACCATCGACAGGCAGGCAGGTACCACTGATCATGGCAGCCTTGTCACTCAGCAAAAATATGACAGCATTTACAACATCTTCCACTTCTGTGAAATTAAACATAGCGAAACTATCACAACCTTGCATTTCACACCGGCATCATAATTGTATATATATACATGTGATTTGATACCGTACTTCCCCGAGTATTAGCCCACTCCTCTGTTTTTAGACATTTAACGAGTTGAAGGCATCTCCGAGTATAGGCCCAGGGTGTTTTTATTGAAATATGCATGTAAAAAGTGTATTTCATTGCATAAAAATCATGATTGGTATATGGTAGTTTGGTTCCTGCTTTTACGAGAGAACTCCCATTAATTTGCATGGAGTGCATGGTGGGCGAACGTACGGAACATGGTTCGCAACTTTTCTATTCTGTGTATTAACCCACCAAAAAAATTATCTTTTCTGCAGTGGTCCTCGAGTATAAGCCCACCACCTAATTTTCCAGACTTTACATGTTCAGGCCCAAGGCTTATACTCTGGGAAGTACAGTAACTTGACAAACAAATTTTCATAATAAGTATTTGTAATTCACTTTGGTACATGATTGGTGTACTTGGTGTACTGCAAGGTGGCATATACAGTGTTCAATGTAAGGTGAAGTGAAGTACATATCAATAGTCATTACTGACAGTATCACTTGAACTATCAATCACAAATGATCTCTGATTTTGTTTTATGTTAATAATATTTCACTGTCTCAATGTACAAAAAAATATTCATGAATTCTGGATTTTTGTGAGGACTCCATTAACAATATTCATGTAGCTGTTAATTTAACACTGTACATTCTACTTTACCGTACATTGGACACTGTACATGCCACCTAGCCATACATTGGACACTGTATGTGCCACCTAGCCATACATTGGACACTGTAC